CCCCACACCTCCCCCAGCCAACTAACACAAAAAGCAGTGTTTGCACAGGAGTGAAGACACCATAAACAACTCCTGGTACAAGCCTTTCCTTTTTGATTCTGCTAAAGATGAAGAGGTTTAACTTGTGAAATAATAGCTGCCCTGCCTTAGGGATTTGTTCTAGAGATTCAAGCCAAAATTAGAAGTGGCCTGTTTTCAATGACACCTGAAAATTTAGTGTAATGCTGATGGTCTGAAATGAAGACCTTCTGACTTTGCAGATGAAATATGTGCCACCAAAGTTCAGTTGTGGTTTCGCTGGCCATGGAATTGGGGTATAATTATATTATTTTAACTCCTGGAGATCATTACTACTTTGGGAAATAAAACCCCAAGCATCAGAACTGTCAAGGTATATATTTTGAACTTTTATTTAAAAAGTAATGCTAGGTTTTATTTATTTTGGAATGTTTCACCAGGTTTTCATTATTAAAACTAGACTGGAACAAGGATTTGAGTATTTGAGCAATAATAATAAAGAAGAAAAACACAAACCTATAAATTTTCCCTTTTTTTTTAAATCTGAAAACTGTTTTGAAACAACTGTCTTATGCAAAACAGTTTATCCTAGAATATGGGTTTAAACATGGGCCCAGCTTTCATTCCTGATTTGAAAAAGCGGCTATCTTGTGGTTCTTTTTTGTTGTTTTTTCTTTTCTTTGTAAAAATTCCTCTTCTACCACTTCTACCTGGTCGTGCTCAAAAAAGACCAATGGATTTGCCTAGGCCACCCCACTCAGCTGAACCCTAAATCAGGCTGAGCCAACTAGCCAACTCCGAGAATAGTTTCCTCATAGTTTTTGGTTGCCTGAGCACCTAGACTATTCATTTCCAGGACAAGGTCTCTCTTGGAAAGCTCCCCCCGGCCCCATTTTCCCTTTCTCTCCAGCCTGTCGGTGCATGGAGAGAAAAATGCTTTCACCTGACAGACATCCCCATACCAGCTTGGCCCTGTGGTGGTCCCAGCTATGCTGGCAGTGCTTTTGCTGGCCTGGTGTGTCACTTGCAAGGTGACAACACAGCTATGTCAACAGAAGTCCTCCTGATGTGCAATTGCTGTGTCCCCATTAGAGGGCTCTGCCAAAGGACCTGTGTTGTTAGAGCGGGTGCTGGGAGGAGGTCCGTTCAGGACCCTCTGTGTTGTTAGAGCGGGTGCTGGGAGGTCCGTTCAGGACCCATCAGTGATTAAAAACACCGTCACGCTGACCTGTGATGAGAGAGGAAGATGAAACCGAGTGAGTCGAAAAGCTTGGCTCCTCGTTATTTCCAAGTAGAATAATATCCCCAAATTATGAACTCTTTTTGTTGTTGTTGTTTTGGGGTGAAATTGGGGGATGCTTCACATTTGGGCCAGGTGAAATTGAGTGCCTTTCTACACTATGTGTTTTTCTAAAACTCTTAAACAAAAGAAACTTATCATAGTGTAGCGAGGAATAAAAATGTTCACTTCATCATTGAAATGTGATTATTTTAGAGAGTGCTAATATTTTGTGTTATGTTCTGTGTGCTTATTTGACTGTAAAGTGAGAATGGACCTCTTATTTTAACACTCTTCAGTGGCACCTCATGCGATTATTTGACTTGAATTAAATGCTGGAAATTTAGTGAAAATGGCACTCTAATTTTTCTGTATTTCAAGCTTCATTGAGTATATTTGCACTTAGAAGTTGCAAGCAAGATGTTAACATTTCAAATGCTTAAGAATGGAATACATTTCACCCTTAAAAAGTGAAATAAAATGCCGGCAGACTCATTTTCTATTCCATCCCGAAGGGACCTTTACAACACTGCACTGGTCTCTTGTTGATTTGATTAATGGATATTTTACACATCAGAAAGAAAAAACATTAATTATTGCGTTTGGTTGCAGCAATAATTATATGTTTCAAATAAAAACTAATTAATACATGGAAAAGCATCATAGCACACGAAGTGTGCTTGCAGTTCACTTCATCTAACAGATCACGAGTTGCCTTTCTGACATTTGTAGCTCTGCAGCTAGTTACCAGCAATTACGTTCCATTTGAAAAAAAATAAGTACCTGATTTACAGCATTAGCTATTATAATGTGAGACATGAGCTACTGAGACTATTATGCTGTAATCACAGTGGGTAGTAATACTCTTACACAGAGTCTACACAGCTCTTCAGTAGTTGCCACTGGAATTTTGGATTTTTTTTGAAAAGGAGATGCAAGGGAAATGCATTAAAATTGAGGTAAAATAATTGCATTAAATGCATTAAAAATACATTAAAATTGGGGTGGTAAAGTGCCCTCACGCATGGGAGGGAGGCGCAACCCACGCTTCAGCCTGTACTGTGGGCCTGAGGAGGGTTTTAGCATATTCATTACTATCTAACCGTGGTTAATGCATATTTCTGGCCAGGAAAAACACTTAAGATTGTTGGTAATAAGGACCACAAGAGTAACACAGGAATATATTTTGAGGGAAAAAAATGAAGACATGACAAAGTTGATGAAATGTTTGGGTTGAGAACTTCTGTCCTGATTTTTGTTTGTGTGTTGTGTTATTTATAAATAATAGATGACCTGGAAAGTTGGGCACACTCTCATTTTTCACTTTAATTGCCTATTTGAAGACAATATGACAGATGCAAAGGTTGCTTTTAGCTATATAGTTACAACTAAGGAGCACTATAGTCACTTCCCAGTGTGCAATAATTAACTTAATTGCAGAAATTTGAACTTTTTAAAACTATCAGAATCCATGATTGGACTCCATGCATTCTTTTTCTTTTCTGTTGTCTAAATCTCAAATTTCTTACAGTTATATTATAGGGTTTTTTTATTAAAAAAGATACTTTTAAGATTTGCAAATCTTTGTATTTATTTACATGGCAATTGGTTTTTATATTAAAACCTGAAAATGTCAGTTAATGTGCTCAGTTGTGTTGCTCAAATACTATTTTAATCATGAAATCCTTGACTTGATGTTATTGCTTGGTCCGATTCCTGCAAATTTTGTTGCTTTAATTACAATAGACTGTTTCTGAGCTAATATCTCCTCCTCTTCCCTCAGTCCTCCTTGCAGTGATATCCTGGTCTGTGCCTGAGCATTGCAGGTTCTTCAGTGATAACATTAAGTGAACAAAAATGCCGAAGCGGTGTCCTGGCTATAAGGGGTCTTTTACGCAAAGGCACTTTGCAGTTGTTAAGATTTTTACCGACTTTGTTGTGTCAGCAAGCCTTAGGAAAGTGCCACAGTTCCTTGTATCCCTTGTATCTGTGCTGAGCTGTGTACTTGCATCCAGACACATCTGAATTCTCAGATGTTTTTACTACGCCAGAATTAACCACTAGGCCGCACATGGTTGCCATTAGGCCTGGGTTTTGCATACACGGAGTCTTTGGCACAGTTTAGTTTTGGCTGTGACCTCTGCTGCCTTACCTGGGCTTGGGGCTGCGTTACCCTCCTGCTGTGACGCAGCTATCGCCGTCGGTCGGTGGCCCAGTTGAAAGTATGTGCTCCAGGCCTGAGCACAAGGCTGCCCGAACTGCAATGTAAAGCTGTCTCCTGTGGAGGAAAGGACTGAAATTTCTTGCCCTTTCTGTAATGTTTATGTGGCCTGTGCCTTTCAGGGTCTTTTTTTTTTTTGTGGCTTCATGCAGTTACAAGTGATCTGACAGGGAAAATAAACTGTAAATTTTTGTGAGTCTTGAATAAATCAAATGGGGGGAGAATTTAGTGCTAAAAGAATAGTTTGGACCTACGGTGTTTGTTGGAACGTAAAAGTTGAAATAGATGCAGTGTTTTCTTGTTTGAACTTGCTCCACATGTAGCTTCCCTAGGTATCTGCTTGACAATAGATGAATCTGTAAATGTGGAAGAGTCTGGTATCTAACCTGGCTTCCATGTTTTGATAAGTCCATCTCTGTGGCATTCAGCACCCTGATCTTGGAAAGAACTTAAACTATGCACAAGAATTAAATGTATACTTGAAGACAGGTAGGTGTAAAACTTTTGTAGAATCATGGTAGGCATTTTACCTCTGATGTTTTGTCGTTGGGGTGCACCGTTTCCTGAGACACGCCACTTCCTTTTTAAGTGAATGGAGCCCATGGTGTGCAGCAGTCCCTGCCAGGTTCTGAGTGCACTCTTAAATAACTAAACATGGAATGCATTTGCCATAGTCTGAAAAGCTAAATAGATTTTTTTTCTATTGATAATATTACCGTAGGATCATGTTAATTATCTGTAAAATCATAGTTGTCAGCTATCTTGAAATTCATAAGAAGACCAGAATAACACTGCATCTGGAATTAAAACTGTGAAATTCATAGTGGCTTCCTTGTAATGGAAATTCCAGGTAGGGGACTGTTTCCAGTAATGTTGAATTTATCTGTTTCTGGCTTTTTAAGCTACATCCATATAAGAACAATTGTGGACTTTGGAGGAAGCCAACAGAAATGTTTGCCTTGGCACCCTTTGTGAAGCAAGCTAGGTTCTAGGGAAATGTAGGGTTTAATTAATTAGCTGAGCTGACTTACATCTGCCAGTTTCTAAGGCCAAGGGAAATAGAGCACAGACACTTGGAGAACTTGGTGGTGGGTGAGAGGAATGTGTGTGTGAATGTAGTAATGAAGCACGTGGTGAATTCGAAGAACCTTTGTGTGTTGGTAGTTCAGCGCTGTGTCATTTTGTTTACACACACTGATTTTGCACAGAATGGTGAGATGATCATGAACATCTTCAGGTGACCAGAGAAAAGACAGTACTGAAAGACCTTGATCCTTGTGAATATGAGTTACACTGTGGGTGTTTTGTTACTCTTTTTAAGATTAAACAGGAAGAGGCAGGTAATGCGATTGGGATGGAAAGGGGATTTCTATTTTTTTGCTGTTGTTGCAACTCTTCTGCTTAATTAATGGTGTGGCTGATAGTAGATATATTTTTCAAACCCCAGTTTTTAGATAACGTATTGATCTTTTCTTTTTTTCTTTCCAGAAATGTAGTATCTACAACTTCAGTGAAATCTGTTGGAGTGTAACAGGTACCGAACAATCTTGAAAATCCAGTCACGTCATTTCTATGTGAACAGGGATTCAGATGCCCTTTATGGGCAGTCTTGACATCAGCTTCTGCCTATTCAGTGGTAGTGCAGGGGGGTAGAGACAGTACTGGGTGCATCAGTCCTGATGGGCTGTTCAAGAGAGTGCAGAGTGGTTTAAATTTTACCTCTTTTAAATTAAAATATTTTCTTGTTAGCTTCTCTTTACTGATGAGCACCTTTCTTGTGACTGTAAGAAAACTTGGCAGTTGTAAAAATTTGGTGGCACTTTGCTGCCTGTTCTTTATAGGTGAAAAGTGACTTTTCATTGTGAGTTAAATGCAGCACCTTTTATGTAAAAAAAAAAAAAAAAACTATAATAATTTTCCTGCATAGTCATATGGCAAAACGAATATCTCCATATATTATAAGGAAGATATGGTGTGTGTTCTATACAGAAATCCTCATGTAAAAGAAAACTAGAGCATTACGGAGACAGTGCTTAAGCAGGATGAGTATTCTTTTTTGCTGTTGTCATTTTTTTTCCTTTAAAATAATTTGCCAGTTTAGGATTTGGCAGTATTCTCAAGTTGCAAGCTTTTTCTGTTTAGTGTGGTGCAATTTAGAAATATTTGTGTAGTTCAATAGCGATTCATTTTGTTAGAACACCACTGAAAATAGCTGGCTTCATCTGAACACTTCAAAAATGGCACAGTGCAGTTTCTAGTCTTAAGTCTTAATTATTCATATTTCTTGTCTGGTTGTCAGTATGAAACATGGTGTGGATGTGAGAAATGGAAGCATGCCTAATCCTGTAGAGGATTAGTTGGGTAGTGGGAATGTTTACACCTACATTTTAGTAGTAACACAGGGGAGTGGGTACCCAAAACCCATAACCCATTCCATTCACATAGAATTCTATTCATCTAGAATATCTGAAATCTGAAAAGTAATTATTATAGCTCCTTTTGAAAAAAGGAGGGAAAAAATGCAGGTTTCCAATATTTAACATCATAGTAAAATAAGAGAGTAACTCAAAAAAAAGAAAAAAATCCCAGTGTTACAGAATGTACATAATGTTTACTCTCTTTTCTTTGTAAAATAAACACAGTGGAAGGTGATGATTAAGAAAAGAAACGAGTAGTGAAGGCGGCTAGTATACAGTGGGTGATGATGTGTTTTACTAGATTTAAGGTGATTTGGTATATGGAAAAAATAATGAAGTAGTGAGTCTTAAATATTCCATGATAATTCAAGAAGGTAGTTTAACTTAGAAGTTAAATATCCCATTCTAGTTCAATAAATAGTTAATAAGTAATACGTTTGCAGAACCCACTGTTGATCAAAACAAAATCTATAGTTGTTTTGATGTGCACTGACTGTGGATATTTTTCTTCCCTTGTAAGACCAAGGGAGCCCAGCTCAGCCCTAGGTTGTATTGCTTAAACCCTTTTCAAGGGGGAGATTTGTCATCTGTGGATATGTTTAATCCATTATAGGTGTCTATTTGGAAACTATTTAGGCTACTTGGGCTGACTTGACCATCTTTGAAGAAACAGTGAGCAAATCGTTTACAGAGCTATTTTTGGAGTCTGAGAAAAGATCAAAAGTTGTCTGATACCCCGCAGAGCAGGAAGTTATGCAGCATTTCTTAAAAAAAAAAGTGCTTTTGGGTGCCATCAGCCACTTCAGAAACCGTGGCTTTGTGTGTCATTAAAACCCAGCTGTGTCTGTGGGGATGTCCTTAGGTTTGAGGGAGCAGTGCCCTGTCAGCCTAGGTTCAAAGGTTCAGCATCAGGGAACAGGGCTACTTCATCTCACCACGGGTACATCAACTGTCCTAAAAAAGACAATGTGCTGACTCTTTTTCTGTCTTATTTTTTTCCCCAAAAAAATGGTAGCGATCGCTAGTAGTTACCAGCAATGCACGTTTGCTCTGTGCTTGAAAGTGTGCTAACATCCAGAAAATTAAGTAGAGACCGTCTGAAATGAAGGCAAGATACGATGAGAAGAAAAACAAAAGTCAAGAGTAGCAGGGAAACTGGTGCGAAGGACAGTGGAGGGAAAAAGCTACGTGTGTGTACTCTGCAACACGGGTTGACCAAGTGGTTATGCACATCTCTGGTGTTTGACTTGTTTATATGTCAGGACATTTTGAGGCGAGGGCGGCAGGCTGGCTGACAGCAAGGGCAGGAGCGAAGGGCAAGGAAGGAAGGACAAGTAGAACAAAAGGCGTTTTGTGAGGGGCAGACGTGAAGGAAAGGACAGGAGAGGGAAGGGTCCTGGCTGAGGGTCGGCACACGAAGGTAGGATGAGCACGGAGAGGCAGGAAGGAACAAACTGGTGACATTTTAAGAGGGTGACAGAAAAGCGAGTTGTGGTGAGCACCACCGCGAGGTGCTGAGCAGGAACAAGTCTCTTGTCAGAACAGGGAGGCACTAAGGAAAGTAACTGGAGTTTTCCTTCGAGTCCACTGAAATTTTTGAGGACCCCAAGTTTGAAAAATGAATGTGGGTTTGATCATCCTTACTGCCCTCTGTTGTCGAAGCTGGAAACCTTCTGTATTTCTAGAAATCGAAAAAGCAAAAGTGTTTTTCAGGTTTAATGGGAATCCTTCACACCTGTTCGATGCGCACCGCATGAGTGGCCTCTGTGCCCTCCTCGGGGCAGCTTTCTGGGCCCGTGTGGGCTGGCACGCGTGTGGCTAGTGCCACTGCTGCTCCCAGTGCCCTCCTGTGCTGGCCTCGCAGCGTAACTGCTTCTTTGTGGTTTCTGAGCTTTCCTTTTCCACAGCGTCTGTGATGGAGAGAAGGCCGCGTCGCAGGCTGCCGTGGCTCCTCAGATGGCGCGATACTGGGTGCAGGCAGCTGTGGTGGTGCACGTGGGCGCGTGGTTCCTGCCAGCAAGGAGAGAGTCCTCTTGACCCCACTGAGAAAGGAGCCTGGGGCTGAACTGGCCTGCTGTGGTCCGCGGGGCTGTGGACCAGGAGCAGAGAGCCAGCAATGCCAGCGAGGGAGACTGGTGGTTATAGCTGGGGAAGAACATTAGCATCTCAGGTATTAGGTAGCTCCTTGTTGTGGTGCGAAAGGGAAGGCAACGTTCTCACGACTGGCAGCCCACAAGGTGGCTGTGTCAGGAAGAAAAACGTGTGAAGCATTTTGAGTGCTGAGTTCACGCTAGATTTCCTTGCCCATCTTCCTGGCTCATTTTTTGGTAGGCTGGGGGATGTGCCATGACTGACTTGCAGTCCAAGTGCAATCTGATATGTGGACGGGGGGATAGAGACCGAGTGTCAGACAGCACCGGCTGCAGGAGGCGGAGGGGCCGCTTCGTGCAGGTGCCAGCTGACACAGACAGTGTCTCTGTGCTGTGACAACATCCTCCTCCAAGGAGCATGGGCTTCCCTAATGCTTGGCTGGTGCCGGGATGGGCTGCTAGGAGGCAGGAGGCTGCTGCGCTCTTCACATGAGCTTCCCCTTGGGCTCTGATGTAAACCAGGCCCAGCTTTGCCTCACTGCGTTGCAGAAACTATTCTTCATAGACGGAGGTTAATCCCATTTAAGAACTGGATTAGCAGAGACGTAGGCACTTAACCACAGAAGTGACTGAAGCAGATAGTCCTGTCTGGGATTAATGCTCTGCAGACTTTCTGTGTCAGGCAGTTTCGTGTCAGGCCTTGCACCACGGCAGTGTGAATCTGTAACAGAGCTCCCACGATGGCCTGCTAAATGACTGCAGGCTTGGTAGAGACAAAGATGAGTAAAAGGTCTTTGTGTGGTGCAAACTGAGCTTCCTCCAAGAAGCAAATTATAAAGATAACGCAAAAGTCACCTGATGCTTTGCTAGCACTTACTGCAGATCTTCCTCGGGGACGGGAAAGGTCTGCATCTCTGGAGGGTAACAGGCTTTGGGTTTTCATTTGTCTTGGTGCTTTGGGTTATCACTTGTCTTGGCACTTGGACTTTTATGGCTGTTCTCTGTACTTCCTTAAAGGTATTTATCTTTGTGTGGGCATATTGATAAGGCTTGGGAACAGCTCCTGCAGCCTGAGCTTCGTGGGAACAAATGCAGGAAGGAAGATGAGCTCTGTGTGGAACTGGGAGATGCTCCCTATAACGGCAGTACCCTGACTCCTGTACCTGCCCCAAGTCTGGTCCCCATTCACTCCAAATTAAAATCTTCCTTAAGGAAGGGCAGCAGGGGCAAGTTCCATAATTGTCTGGGATTTTTGTTTTCTTTTGCATTTTTAAAACAACTAATGACATCAAACAAATGTGGCTGTCAGGTTCATGAGCTTTTCACCCTTAACATTGGTTAAAGTTGTAGGATGAAGTCAGAGCAGTCTAAAATACAGATCTGACTGTGGGGTTTTTGCTTGTTGCTTTGTTCTTGGTTTGTCTTTGCCCCCAACTCAAAGTAGATGCATTCTCAGAAATAGAAGATGGATAACAGTAGTGCTATAGAGAGCCATTTATTAAAAAGTGTCTTTTTTATTCTTTATAGTTAAAAAGTAAAAGTTGCTCCCAGAATTCTTTTAAAGTCTTGCATAAAGTATGTAGTTAATGACTGTATAGTATTATGCACCTGCATGATACACATTTTCCATTGAGAGATTTTGAAAACTGTTTATAGTTAATGCTTAAAGGTGCATTTCTGTGATGTGGAGCTGCATTGTATTTGGAACCCCAAGAAAATCCTATTTTTTGTATTTTTTTAAAAAATCTACTTAAATATAGTTATACTGCTCTGTTTTTGGCTTCAGAAACTTGAACTAAGTCTGCTTCTTTGCTAGATAAAAGCAAAAATTAACTGAGAAGGGATGAAGAAAAATAGGGATTTAAATCATGTTCTTTCACTTGAATGAGGAGGTTGGTACTAGAGGGAACTGGGCGATGTTTGCTTCAGGGCTTTCCATAAGCAATGCTCTGCTGGGCAGGCATTTTGCTTCAGGTGTGTTTTTGTATGACTTTTCCGACTGAGAACTTCAAAAAAATAAGCTTTAGAGAAGGCAGGAAGCAAAAACTGAGATGCAGAAGAAAAATATCAAATCCCAAGCAAGGAGATTTAGTCACTCTTGATACGCCTCAGAACACGTCGACCAAATTTAGAAATTGCTACATTGAAAAAAGAAGAAAGCCTAATTCTTTTAACACTGTAAATCATGAGAACCAGTGAAAACTAATATTTATGAGAGAGATTGTCGAAGTTTGTGTGACAGTTGGAAATCATATCCCTATTGATGTTTGAAATTCCTGTGTAACGTAATGCAATGCTGTGTTTATGAATGAATGAATAAATGATTGTGCAGTGTTAAACAGGTTCTGTAAGAATAAACCTGGCTGATCCATTTTATATCTCTTGTCTTGACTTAAGTTACTTTGCAGTATACAGCCCCATATATTTCAGTATGAATGCCGAAACCTCAAATATACTCATTTATTTTTATTCTTTGCAGATACAGACCCACGTGTATTAGAGAAACAAGAACTTCAACAGCCAACATATGTTGCTCTAAGTTATATTAACAGGTAAGCATGCTTTTTTTCAGGTGTAGCTGATCATGGTTTGCACAACCTGTATATAAATGCAGATATCAGAATGGTATGACCATGTGTGTTTTAGTTGTTTCATACTGTATGACACAGTGATGACACATGTTTCGCAAAGACAGCTGAATTAAAACCTGACTAAATTATTTGTCACTATTATAAAGGGCACAAGCAGCAGCTTAGTTGTGCTGCTCAGGCCCCTTGGGGATGAGATTTTACCCTTTTATGTTGCAACTAACTCTTTTGCAAAATGGGATAATTTGTCTTTGTGCTTTTGTGTGTGTGTGTGTGTTTTAACTTTCTTATAATGAAAGAGTTACTTTTATGGAACAATGCTGCTTCTTCAGACTTCTTTTTTTTATGGTCAAACCATGTTTTAATCCTCAATAAACATTACACTTGTAGTATAACTCACTCAAAATCTTCTTTTCTTCATCTAGGTAAATCAGCATGTTGCTGTTGTAGAGTTAATGTGCCTTCCTTTGCATACTATTTTTGATAGCTGTACTATGCTTGAATGTTACTCAGTTGCTTTCTGCAAATGGATTTATATGAAAATATTCCTGGTGAGGTTATTGGCTTTTATGCATGGAATGCCAATATGCTTTTGAAACTTTGTTCTAAAGGAGAAGACTCACAAACCTGGAAGATTAACACAAATTTAACTCAGAATAGCCTTAATTAATTTGAACTTTCATGAGTCATACATAGAATTTTTCATTTTAATTCTACTTCATGTTAAAAATGAAAAAAAAACCCACAAACTTTAATCCTCCATTGGTTTTGTGTCATATCCACTGTAGAAAAAGGGTTCCAGTGAGGAAGAAAATGATTTTGAGGCAAGAACTGATGTTCACTTGGTGAGGTAAATTTTCTCTGCTCTATGAGACCAAGTATGGTTGAGAAGAGCTGGTATTGACACGATCTCCTATTTGGCTGTAACAGTTGTTTTTCCTGGAGACGAAACCTCACCCTTGAAAGCATGTTTGGAAATTAACACAACCCTTTTTAACACTTCTGTCTGTTGATCTCATCTAATGTGTGAAAAAAAAAGAAAATTGGCAATGTGCAGACATGGTATGTTATCATGGACATTTCTATGTTTCTCTCTTTCCATTATATACTTACATTTTCTGTTGCTGCTTCTGTGATTTTTTTGAAGGCAAGGAAAGCTTCTTAAAAACGGGGGAAAAGCTCGTGTAGGACAACAGCAAGACCCTCCAGATTTGTTTGGCTCAGAATTCAAAAGCTCTTTTAAAGCAGTTTGAAAGTGATGCCTTGTCTGGCTTTCAAGATTTTGGTGTCCTTTCTAATTTAATTCCATGTGATTGGAGCAGTTCTAGTCAGTTGCTATGTATTTTACCCAAACTTTATTCCCTTTTTAATTTTGAGAAACAAATCTGTGGAATTGATTTTATTTATTTTTTTTTTTAAGAAAAAGGGTTCAAACCAAAGTAAACAAAATCTTCAGCTGAAGATTTTATTTTCATCAATTTCAGTGATATTTTATTTAAACCAGCCTGCTGTATTTAATTGCTCTTTTAATAGTTTTTTAATTTTTTTCTGAAGTGCTTATGTCTTTCACTGAACCACCTGCTCTCCACAGCTCATGCTCTTGAGGCAGCAGCAATATCCATTACACTCTGTGCATGCCTTTCTATTTCCCACTACATATGCCAGAGCTTGAGTTCTGCTTTGTTGTCCCAGGCTATGAACTCAGATTTTGTAGCCTAATACATGTCATAAACATGTTGCATACTGTTAAGTATCAAACACCAGATACTGCTGCTCTTTTTTTAAACCCCTGCTTTTATGGTTTCCAAGTAGAACAGAACTGTAGCTTGGTTCCTGCTGTGAGTTCCAGACCTTAAAACAATCTTCCTCCACACTTTTGTGTATTCAATATGTTCTGTGTGAGCCGTACATTCTCATGGAGCTGGGGAAAAGAGGGACTTCTGATTTTCAGCAATTGTCAAATTGGATGATAAGATACTTAATAATATAGATGTTATGATAGAGGAAAAAAATACAGAATGATTAGGTAGAAATGCTTCATGCTGCACCCATTGCCCTGTAGCGTAGCGGCCGTTATACACTAAAACAAAGCAACATAAATCTGGGTCATCTGGT